AAACATTTTCATGCTATACATGAATGAAATACACACTCTGCATCTGACACTTCACAGATTTCCTGAAAACAGGTTTCACAGTTCTTTTCATAAATAAAATGGAAACCCTTCAGACATCTTCTGAAAACCTACAGCCAGCCACACTTACTTGGGGTGTGGGAATGGATGCCTTACTTGCAGAATCTCTAAAACTATGTGGATTCAGTTTACCTCCATGCCAATAAAATGCCATCATCTGTAAGAGAATGCCTTCCAAGTTGAAGCATTTCTAAATACCTTTCCAGAATCAAAGATCAAAGGCTGCTCTCCTCTGTTTGAAAAGGCCCCTTTGCCGTCCCCTCAGAGCCTCACAATCTGCAACCCGACTTGTGCCCCTAGCTGGCAGCCACACCACCCAGACCTGAGGGAACCGGAGTTTAGACCCAATTCTTTTTTTCACTCAAGAGCCTACAAATTCTATTTCAAGCACATGCACGCACAGAACACAGATGTGGGGATGAAAACCAGGCCCTTGAGGGAGCGAGGGTATGATATTGAACTGGAACGAGGCCATAAGTGGCTCTTGTGCAGCGGTCACACCCTGAGCACGGTTGGAGCCCAGACCCAGAATGGTTTTGGCCTTTGGGTATGACATTTACAATCCCCCAGGACAGTCACCACGCCTCTCATTTGAGGCAAAACATTGCACAATCTCTGATCCAACAGGCCTGAAAGATTTTTCTCTGACTCTGAGAAGCATGTAACCACATGGACCTTCTGGAAATTTCTCTGCCTAAGGAAGCTGTAGATCATAACTGAAATAGGAAATCGAACTTCTGAGGCTTGATTTGAGACTTGGGTACTGGTCAAGGAAGGAGCCATTCTACAACAAATAAGCTAATCAAAGGCCAGGCTACTTGTGCATTTATATCTTCTAGAAAATGCTTAGAGCTTAGATAGACACCTCTTAACACACACACACACACACACACACACACACACACACACACACACTACCAGTATGTTACCTGAACAAATGACTTATTCATGCGCTGAACAAATATTTATTCATGGTTTACTACTTAACAGATATCCTGTATGTGTGAAGGACAACACATTTTAAAAGCACATTTTAAAAAATTCCTACGGGGGCTGGGAAGGTGGCTCAGTGGTAGAGCACTTGCCTTGCATGCATGAGGCCCTGGGTTCGATTCCTCAGCACCACATAAATAGAAAAGGCTAGAAGCGGTGCAGTTTTTTTCAGAAAACACCTCTGTTTTTCCTGATCTTTGTTAGCCAAATCTATCTTTTCCAAGGAACAAGTGACCAGAAACTCAGTGACTTACAATCATCGAATTATTTGTATACTATGTGCAAGCAGGAAGCAGTACTCAGAGAAGCTTAACGTTCAGGTCTATGTGGTATCTGCTGTAGTAGCTCATCTGGCCTTAGACGACCATTCCAAAGATATTCATCCAGTAGTCCTGGCCTTAGGATGGGATGGAGGATATTCAGTATATTCAGGTCGTTCTCCAGGTGGCCTCCCCAGATGCCTAGGTTGGACTCCCGAAACTTGAGCTCTGTGAGGGGACATCCCAAGTCTTGTCTTGTTCCAGCATGCATGCCTGCATCTTCATCACATTTGCTAACATCTCAATGTCCAGAATGGGCTTCTTGGCCAAACTCAGACTTGGTGTGGGTGGGAAAGGACTACACTTTACAGGGGCCTGAAACACGAAGAAATATGAGCTGGGCATGGTGGCTCATGCCTGTAATCCTAGCAACTCAGGAGGCTGAGATCTGAAGATTGTGGTTTGAAGCTAGCCTCAGCAGTAAAATCCATGAGACTCTTATCCCCAATTAACTACCTCCCCTCCCCCCCAAAAAAGCCAGAAGTGGAGCTGTAGCTCAAGTGGTAGAGTGCTAATCTTGAGCAAAAAAATCTGAGGGACAGCAAGAAGGCCCTGAGTTCAAGTCCCAGGTCTGGCCTTAAAACTCACATTATGTGTTTTGATGCTTGTGTTTTTCCATGTTCTTTGTAAAAAGTTATGTCAGATTCTTCTTACAGAGAGTTTAATATGGTATAAACCATTCAACAGTTGCATATTAAAACCATGGAGCTAAGATGGTATTTCCACTTAAAATGTTTCTAAGTGGACTACAAAGACTTAAGCTCTACACATGTACCTATTGCTGTAATGGCTAGGTCCCAGTTAATGAAAGACAGGGGAAAAACACTCCATGGATTCAGAATGCTAAAGTATACCTTCCAAGCCCATTAAATGTTGCCTCTTGCCTTGTGCTGCTCTTCCTTGTTTGGAGTTTAACACAGCAGAAAATTAGCCTCTTTAACACCTGCCTGGACTCCAGACAACAAAAGTGATTACTTAGGTGATCATCAGACTATGCATTCTTTGGAAAATTCAAACATCTGTCCCTTGTTGCAGGTGTTTCAAGCTAATCCCAAGTGTGTACCAGTGCAGAAGGCTAGAAATGGCCTCCTCCTTCTACTGCACATCCTGTGAGTCTGGATCAACAGCTGATAACTCTATCCCTTTCTTTCCTCGGCAGGGGTTCTCTATCTTCAGTATGGAGATGAAACAAAGCAGCTCAGGATGCCAAATGAAATCACAAGCGCAGACACGATCCGTGCTCTCTTTGTAAGTGCCTTCCCACAGCAGCTCACCATGAAAATGCTGGAGTCGCCTAGTGTGGCCATTTACATCAAAGATGAAAGCAGAAATGTTTATTATGAGTTAAATGATGTCAGGTGAGTAGTTTCTTTTTTGTTTGGCTTGGGTTTGGGTCTACGTCTTGCATTTAAGAGTTGTTTGTTGCTTGTTTAGGATTTTTCTACCATAGATTTCTCTACCATTTTGAGAGTTTGGAGCCAACACATTGGAATGCTGGAGTTTGGTCCCTCAGAGCCCTGATTTCTCTTCTTCCCAGGGAAGAAAGCACAACCATAATCATTAGCAGAACTCTCTTCCAAGTACAGATTCACTATCTGGCTTTCTGCAGCTTGGTTATAAGGTGTCATTTTGCAGAGATGAGGACAAATATCTGTGAAGAACTTTAAGAAGGATCCTGCCTACCATTTTGTCTACAAGTTAAGGAACCAAAGCCTGGGGAGGTGATGGAAAGACTAGGTGAGAGTTGAAAACAGCCTCTCTCAAGTGCTCTTTTGCTCTAAGCCAGAGCCTGTAGATGTTTTAGGTAATTTATCCTACTTTGGCCTTATTTACACCATAATGGAATAAAGACAATGACTTTATATATTATGGCCCACAAGGAAAAAATGTTCAGAAGCATCCTTCCTATTTGTTTCTTAAAGGAGTTGTCTAATACTCAAGGGTCTCACCTGCCAGGGAAGTGTTCCCTCCAGGACTGCAATGTGAATGCACTCTAACACTAAACTAAAGGAAAAAACCAAACCAAACTGGGCTAAATGGACTCAAGTGATTACAAACATAGAGGAACAAAGACCATCAGGGACTGCAGTGGCATTGTCTATAATCCAGAAGGGACCCATTCGATTATTCCAGCCAGATAATACAAACAAGCAATGACTAGTCTAGCCTCTAAATCTTTGAACACTCAAGAAAGATTATTTAGTGACTCACCCAATCCTTTCGTTTTATGGAACCAGAAACTTGGATGGATCAAAGTCAAGAGTCTGAGTCAAGGGCACAAGGCCAATTAAGAGCCAAGCCCAGCCTCAGTCCTGGTGGTCTCCATTCTTAGTCTGACTCACAGTAGGGTAGAATGTGAGTTTTCAGGATCCCTGACCTGTGGAAGGTTGCAAATTCTCCTATTTCTTCATATTATGGAAACAATGAATTCCATTAAAAAATATATATGCCTCTAGAGCATAATGAATGGAAACAGATAACTATCCAACAATGATGACGGGTGACACATGGCGACATGTGCCAAGGAGTCTGAGCAATTTAGAGCTTTCAGAGTTTGACACTCGCCCTCAGGTATGGGTGCTACATCTGTTGTACAACCTTCTTGCCTTTTAAACATAGGTTTAAATATTCATGAGCACCAGAAAATGGATACTTGTTTTTGAAATGAATTATTAACCATGCTGTCACCAAGTTTTTTGAATTTCCTCAGCATGAACTGAAACAACCACTTTATATTTGAAGAGTATGTTTGCAATACGATAATCCCATGTAATCTTTTTATACGGTTATGCCATTTCTCAGTCATTTTATATTTTTGCATTTACAGTTAGAGGAATGGAGAGACACAGGAATAATAAATAAGCATGGAACTGAGTGAAATGGCTCTTGATTGTGGGGAGCAAGGCTGAGAAGGAAGTTTGGGAACAGTTGACCTCCATGTCTATCCTGGAGCCCATGCAAAGATTTTTATGTTACCAGAGCCTTTCCCAAGCCTCGGAAGGGATATCATTTGACTTCCCTATTGTATCCCTTGGGAAAGTCAGAAGTAACCACAGAGAGATAGGAGGAGAGCAAAGAGGAAAAAGGCCAATGGAAATCCACTGATAGAAATAAATTGATAGAAGCAGCAATCCTGTCTATTTAGAGAAGGAAACTGCTTTAAACACAAAGGATTCTCAGTTATGTTTATATGGCATAGCTGCAAAAATAATAATCTTAGTGATATTGTGATAGTTCTGACTTTGTGTGTGTGTGTGTGTGTGTATATGTATGTATGTATGTAAGTGTGCACTCGTGTGTATATACACAGGTACCTCCATGCACTGGTCCTGGTTCTTGAACTCAAGGCCTGGGTGCTATCCCTGAACCTTTTTGCTCTAGATTAGCACTCTTCCACAAGCTCCACTTCCAGCTTGTTAGTAGTTAAGTGGAGATAACAGTCTCATAGGCTCTCCCGTCCTGGCTGGCTTCTAACTTCAATATTTAGATCTCAGCCTCCTGAATAACTAGGATTATAGACATGATCTTTCTAGTGTCAGGCCTGACTCTTTAAAAAATATCTCATGAAGAGCCTATAATCCTAGCTACTCAGGAGGCTAAGATCTGAGGATCATGTTTCGAAGCCAGCCCAAGCAGAAAAGTTTCTGTGAGGCTCTTTTCCCCAATTAGCCACTCAAAAAACCAGAAGGGGAACTGTGGCTTAAAGTGGTAGAGTGCTAACCTTAAGCAGAAGAAGTCAGGGACAGTGCCCAGCCACTGAGTTCAAGCCCCATGACTGAGAGAAAAAAAAAAAACTCATGTAAAATTATTATGTAAAAAAAATGATTGATGTATAAATTTGAGTGTAACTTTTCTATTTTTTAACATACGAAAAAATTCACCTAAAAATTGAGAAAATAGTTTTGCTTGGGTGATAAGTGTAACATTTACAAGCTAAATAATCACATATATATCTGTGTCTAAAAATCTCTCTTTTTTTCAAATGGATAAGATGCTTAAATTATATTTTATTTGAATGGTGGAAGAAATTTTAAGAGCATTATATAAGACAAAAAAAGTACTGTGTTGGTTTTTCTGAAGACAATGCCCTTAATCTTTTAACTTCAGAGACAAGTTTCACATCCTTCAGCCTGTTTACTAGCCATTGGTCTATTCCATCTTTGCATCGGACTCTGCATCTTTTCTTTCGGGAAATGATGCAAAGAATTCAGGGCAGAATACTATGTTGCAAACGTTGCTATGCTAAATGTGAGATGTGGTCCCTTTCTGACAAACATGTTTCTAAATTAATCATAAACCAAGCTCATGCACTTTAAATACCTTTATGATCACAGTAAGGCCTTTCCATGGCTTAAGGGAAGTTTCCAGGGTCTTTAAGTTGTCACCATGACTTAGGCTACCAAAAGGATCACTCCTTTAGTCCCCAGGTCTTCAGTCCTGGACTCCCCCCTCCCCTTTTGGCTCAGCCCCTTTTAATAGCAAAGACTATGGGCTCCCCTCAAGCAGACTTCTAATGAGCGACTTCAAGCGTAGAGCACCCATGCAAGCTGGGACTAGTCATTGCTTCAAAGAAACGACTGGCAGATATTTAAAGGGGAGACACACCAGACTAGCTCAAGAATCTTCCACTTCATTTTAAGCAAAAACAGCCCCTGGTAAGCTCAGTGATTGTGAGGAGCCCACTCAGTGTGTGGCTGTACCTGGAAAAAGGGGTTTTGCCTTTCTACCCACAATCCTCCCAGCTTGCCCCGCTGGCAGTGGGAGGAATCAGTGTAGACAAGGCTGGATGAGCCTTGGTTGACCCTTCAGAGTGGCCCGTGGAGGTTCCAGGACTTCGTGGACATTCTGGCACTCTTAAATAATTTTAAGGTAGGCTTTGAGCGAGATGCAGGACTTCTGTCCTTTCTCTTCAGCTCTCTAAGCTTGGATCTAAAGGAGAAAAGAATTTGCTGCTTTTCCTTTTGTCCTGTAATTCAGTTTGTACATAGTGAAGTGTCTTTAAAAACCCACTGTGCAAGAAAATAAAGGCACTGTGAAGATAGTAGTTTTGATCTCTGTTGTACTTTTCCTTTTCTAGACTGTATATGTATTGTTTCCTTTGCCAAACAAGTTTGAAAGGATAAAAAAAAAGAAATTTTGGGTGTGTATTCATTAGATAAGGAGCAAACCAGGTTTGGGCAAAGTAAGTCAAATATTTAAATATTAACCAATTCTCTTTGAATGAACCTATTGGAGCTTTATTGCTTTTGAAAATGTTAGTTTTCCACCATAAGCAGCTTGAAAGACATTTCTTTTCACCTGACCTTTATGAGTGCATAACTACCTTGAAAAAATTATGCCTTCCCCAGGAACCAGATAAGAAAAGCAAAGCTAAAGCCATTTTGCTCCTTTTCCCCTTCATTTATATCTGCCAGTTTTATGGTGAAAGACCTTTTTGTCTGGCTTGTGGTAGACAACCAGCAAACTGTCTGTTCATGCTTCTACCTGATCCTTTCAGATCAGTTGAAGAAATGAGCCAAATGAGGCTCCTCTCATCTGCCATAGTTATTGATGTTTTTGATTTTAGGAACATCCAAGACAGATCACTCCTCAAGGTGTACAATAAGGACCCTTCGCATGCCTTTAATCACATGCCACAAACGGTGAATGGAGACATGAGGGTAAGTCAAGCATTGCTGTTGAATTGTTAACTTCATTCGTCTGGTCAAGCTCTCCTGGCTTCTTGCCCCACTTCAAATGTATAATCATACCCCTCTACCAGATTTGCCAGGGGTTCTTAACCATTTGTCTTGGCTCATGGTTTATTATTTGGTAGAACAATACGGCTTCCTGGTCGTTGGGGCAAAGGGATTTGAATGGAAATGAATACAACCTAATTCATGTCTAAGCAGAGAGTTTATTTTTCATTATTCATTTCTTTGATAGTGCTAGGGGGAATATGTCCCCTCCCCCATGTGCTAGGTGAGCACTCTATAACTGGGTTTCACCCTCGCACTGTAAGCCTGGGGCTTAGGCAGACAGAGCCTCACTCCAAAAACACCGCGAAAATCTTCTCATAGAAAGGTGCATTGACTTACTCAGAGGCTCTCCTGCATTTTTTTTTTTTGCCTGATGGAAACAGAATTAACAAGAATAAACAAATTTCATGGGAAATCGTTGCATGCTCTTACATTTTTCTCTAGCCTAGTGTATTCATGTAATCAGTCACCTTCTGATTGAGGCTTAATTTTGGCTGTAGTATATTATAGGTTATCACATTTTCCCTGATCTATGCTGAGGGCAGAGGGTGAATACCTGTAGAATTTGGGTGGTAAAATTCTCTAGGTTTGGGTCATATCAGGAGATGAGATAAACATTCACAGTGCTAGCAGAAGTTTTGGAGGAAAAGCACGGGGAAACTTTCAGTGGATTTTAAGATCTCACTAATGCAAATCTACTAGAAAGGAATTGCATTTCAGACAACAATGATATGCTTTTCTGAAGTAAAAATGGGATGGGAAAATAAAAGACTAATTTCTTGGGTGTATACTGATCAGAGTGGGGGACGGAGGGGGAAAGAGGCTGCTTTATTAGCCCTCTGTTGGATACTAGAGTTTAACAAAAATAATGAATGGGTTTTCCTAGTATGCCTAGGTAGGTAGGCATCTACTGTCCTAGAGTAGTAATATCATTCCTAAGTTCCTTTCTTTCCTGATAGTGTACATTAGATGTTTTTGTTTTTGTTTTTGTTTTGCTGCTATAACAAATTATGACAAATTTATTTCTTAAAACACCATAAATTTGCCGGGTGCCCATGACCCTTGCTTGTAATCCTAGCTACTCAGGAGGTTGAGATCTGAAGATTGAGGTTCCAAAGCCAGCTCAGGCAGGAAAGCCCATGAGACTCATCTCCATGGCTTAATTTTTTGGTAGAGTGCTAGCCTTCAGCAAAGAAGCTCAGGGATAGACAGGGCTCAGGCCCTGAGTTCAAGCCCAAGACCGCTACATGTTCCCGTGCATATATTTGCATGAGCACGCATTCACATATACACACATAATACCATAAATGTACAATCTTATAGTTCAGGATGTGTGGAATGATAGGATTTCACTGATCAGCAGAGCTGTCTTTTTCTGAAGGCTCTGGAAAGAATCTATTTCTCCTAAATATTTCTAGATCACCCAGAAATTACCACTTTGATTTGCAATCCCTTTCTTCCATCTTCAGACCTAGTAAAATAACATCCCTCCTCTTTGTTATGTTTCTAACCATCTGATATCTTTTGGGTGTCCTGTTTTGTTTCTCCACGCCGGGGAGTAAATTCTAGGCCTAATGCTTGCCAGGCAAATACTCTACTGCTTGACCCATGCCTTCAGTCCTTGTTTTGCATTGTTTATTTTGGGGGCAAGATCACCCTGTATGCCTGCGCCAAGCCTGGGAGACAAGCCTCCTATTTAGGCTTCCCTGTGTTGCTAGCGATGATAGGTGCACACACTGCTCCCAGCCACTGGTTGAGATGGAATCTCAAGAACTTCTTTTTTGCCCTGGCTGACCTTGAACCTTGACTCCCCTGCAGTCTCCACCTCCCAAGTAATGCTGTCTACTTTCAAGTCACTTAGGATTACAGTGGGCCTCTTCAATACTCCAGGGGAAAAAAAAATACTTTTCCTGTTTTAAGATTAGCAAGCCTAATCTCCCTCTCCCACATAACATCTTAGTGGGTTCATGGCATTAGGATGCATGTGTGTTTGGAAACCACAGCACTACCTTCCACATAGAGTATGTGAGTTTGGAACCAAGAAAGAGGCCAGGAGGTATAACGGGACAAATGTGCCAGGGGAAGTTTTGTATAATTCTGGATTCGAATGGAAGACATGGTCTAGTGGAAGCAGAGCCAACAGTGAGGGAGGAAAAGGTCTCTTCCCTCCTCATCTGCTTTTTTATGTCTAAAGTGGTATGTGATTAGAACCAAAGGCCATGTAACTACTTTAGAAAACCTAGGATTTTGAGGTTTGATTTTAGCTAGTTCCATTTTAAATGTAAACCAGAGCCACATGAAGACAGAGGATTATACCAGTCATAAAGCATGGGTGAATGTTACGAGCCCCTTTGCCTAGCATGGCTGGTTTGTTCTTCCTTTGTTATATTCATATGTCTTGTTTTTGCTTTTTTAAAAATTGTTTTTATATCTAGCCTTTAACCTGGATAATGTCTTACCTTGAGTTGTTTCTATCATGTACAGCCAGTCTCAGACCAGCCTCCCTCTATTATTCTTTTAGAATCTCGCTTGTGGTGGGGAAGGACAACTGTTTTAACTCTTAGGCACATGTGGTTCTTAAATAAAGACCTGCTAGGAGAATCCAGAGCATCAAATATTAACCATATGCACAGAGCCTATTAAAATGTAGCTCCTTTTGCTATGGAGTTCAGCAGAGCACTTCCGATTTAATTCATAAAGGAAATAGTTTGTGTGAAAAAATAACTATTGTCCCCCAATGAAGGGACAATAAGTGTTCAACATCTAAGCAACAGAAGAGCTTTTACGTTTCAGTGAAAGCTAGTTAGAAATGAGGAAATAAGAAGCATTTCCAAGCCAGCTAGTTACCATCATTATACTTGCAGTTTGGAACTTGGCCCCCATTCAGATTCCTGAAATTTAAAGCCATTGAATTCCTTCAGCCTTACCTCTTGGCTCTAGAAATTGGAATTCTTTCTCTTCTTTCCCTGCATGTGTCCGCGTTGCCATGAAAGAAGGGAGGTTGGTATTGCACTCTGGCTGCAGCTCATTGCTAGTGGTGATTTGCTGAAAAGGGAACAGCGAGGATCAATTGTTGTAGACTAAACCAAGCTATATGATGATGAAGTTTGGGGCAGCTTGTGAGTGTAATGGGAACTTGGCCATGAAGGAATTACATGGTAACCACTCCATGCATCCATCTCTGTGGTCCTGCCCCTGATGTCATCAGACTTCACTCACCAGCTTCCAGACAGTCTGGGAGGCTATCCCCGCAGCCCACTCATTACCAGTGAATGTGTGCATGACATCAGTTGGAACAGAAAGGTATATAACACCAGCAGTACAAGGACTCTTGTGGTGGCCTCTGAGATTCTCTTTAAGCTGTGAACTTACTATTTTCCCTTGGAATGAGAAGCAATGTTAAGAATGTGCATCTGAAATTTACAGGCATGTTTTGGGGATAGAATGGTGCCCCCAGGAAGCGTGATAGACTAAAATATTCACTCTGAGGTTATGGGCCTCGGAGTGTGCATGGAATTTTATGCATGGTGGGAAAACATGTGTTATTCTTTAGCATCTAGTTGAGCATTTTTGAGGTTCCTATAGCTAAAGAAACTTGTGATGCTTCACTGGAACTGAGCATGCCCAAGTCCTGACTCCATACACTTGGATGCCACTCACCCTAGTCTAATTTAATCACTTGCTTTTGGTATCCTTACATCAGATAGTAGTCTTGACAATTCCCTTCTCAGGGAACCTAGCTCACCCTATGAGACAGGACTTTTTGCATGCATTAAATATGTACATGAATTCACAAATTATGTACAACTCAAAGTAAGCCATTCCATTTCACGGCACACAAAGGGACTTGGTAATTTCCTACTTTCCAAATCTGGTCACTTTTTCATAGTTTAGACACTTCTTTGCCCCCTATGTACGTAGAGATTACGATTATGTCCCAAGGTTCTCTCTTGCCATCATTACTGAGTCTCTCTATTGTTCCCCATGATTTTCACTTGTATAAAAATCACTCCTATGGCTGGTTTGTTGTTTTTTTGTTTTACGCAGACAACTACTAGATTTGCATTTAGAGCACACTCTCCAAAGGTGCCCCTGCATCTTAAATTATTTTCTTAATACCGGAACCAATAGCTGCTTGCCAGTCGCCTTCTGATTGGGCTTTGTTTTGGGTGCTGAACAATGGTCTCTAGAAACCCTGGGTTCCCATTCCGATACCACAGGCGAGCATACCCCAGCCTTGCTTATGGCTAGTCCCTCTTCCCCTTATACCCAGGTGATTGTATTGTGGTCAGGCAGCTTTTACTAGTGGGGAATTTGGGTGTTTTATTTATTGTTGTTTGTTTGTGGTTCTTTTTTATCTGAGTCTTGGTCCTCGTAACTTTTATCTTAATACTGATTTTACTACTCTGTCGGTGTAAATGGTTCTTGAAATGACATAACTTGTTCTGCCATATATAAAATGCAAGATCCAAATGTTGAACTTTTCAAGTCCTGATCTTCACAGCAATATTCTTCCAGGATTTCCTACATAACTTGTCTTATTTTCTACAAGCCTTTCTCCTCCTTGATTCCTTTGAAAGATGAAGGGGCTGTGTATAGTGATGGTGTTGGTGAAAATATGTGAATGTGTTCAGATGTATATGTGTTTGGGGGAGTAAGGGAGCTGGGATTTAAAATGTTAAGATATTGATGATTCTTCTCAATGGCTGACTCTTGTTCTCCAAAATATTCCACCAGTCACCAGAGCTGCTTCATGTCACTCTGCCAGGTCCCTTATGGTGACCGCTCTGTTGTCTTGTACACCAGCAATCTTGCAGTAGCTAAGACATTTGGACATTGAGCACTTCCATAGATAATTTTATTTAACACTCAAAGACAAAATTTTGGGATTTACATTTGTAGAAGTCCTCATATTTAGAACT